TAATCTATGAACTATAAATCTGTCTCTAATTTATAAATATTTTCATAAGCTGGATTTCAAACTCATCAGACACCATTACACCCAGAGATAATGCTAGAAGCCTAGAACAGAAGGCAGATCAAAATATAAGTTCAAGAAAATCACTCCGAGCGTGAAATGCACAAGATCAAACAAGTCGATGCTCAACATTGATCAAGAACAATCACATTATAGACTTGGAAGTTTCCAATAATTTATACAAAGGAATAAATCTATGACAACAGAAAAGGCACTCGCGTTTCAGCAGCAACGAGTCCATGTTATTGCCACAACAGCCACGAATCCATCTCACAATCTAACCTCAAAACCCAGGTAATCACGACACGCACACACTAATAATCACTACGATATCACGTTATCACAAAGCAAGCAACTTTATAGCTAAGATATCGAAGGAAAAGGTTCATCTTCTGCAACGCGTGATGGCAGAGCAACCCCTAGAGTAAGGGTGAACCGGGCCTCTCGCCTTGAAACAGTTGTGGGTATAGTAAGATCTGCCGGAGCGTGGAGGACAGGGAATTCTGTTGGCTGAGAGCGCACCGTAGGAGATATAGTACCTCATTCTGTGCCAGTACAGAGATCTCCGGCTAAAACCACCGTCCATGGCATCTTCTTCGGCATCCTCCAGCTCATCGTAGAGCGACATTGTGGTCGGCCATTCCAGAGCATCAGACATCAGCTTCATGCTCGTTTTTGTCCTCTCTCTGCGCCACTTACATGGCGGCTCAAACCCAGACACAGCACGAGACAAACCAGTAGAATAAGCCTGGAGAACAGGGCTAGAGAAGCCATGGAAGAAGAGAGAGAGGGGCAAAGCAAGGAATGTATGTATGGAGTATGGAGATTTAGGTTTAATGGGGAGAGTGAGGGAGGGAAGGGAGATTGAGATTTAGGTTTAATGGGAGAGTGAGGGAGGGAAGGAGAGAGAGAGGGAGGGTCACATGGAGGAGGAAGCAGGATTGGTGTACAGCTGTGACATCAATGTCTGAATGAAGGCGTGCCTCTATTAGCGCGCCTCTGTTTCCTGGTTCTGTTGTTATCTGGTGTGTTGGGTGCAGCTATGATAACCATGGATACGGCATTGTCGTTTTGATGGGTGAGGAGGCGGTGAGATCTGTGTCATGGACGCGATAGATCGAAGGGAGTAACCGAGATAGATGAGGTGTCACGTATGGGAAAGCCTCTCTTGGTTACCCCACACAACGGTCCAGAATAAAGATGCCGCGGATAGGACGACGGTGCTTTCAAATCACATTCAACTTCTTCCACCAAAAAAGAAACTGTAGATTGATTGAAGTTGGTGTTCATTTGGGGCAAATAAAATAATGGTGTCGCTTGATTTTTACTTTATACTGATTTTATGTTGACGGTAAAAGGACATATAATTATTTTCACCATGCAGAGAGGGGTGGATGATGGAGAAGAGAAGGTAGTTGCTCTAATTCGGTAGCCCCATAATGTTAGTGGACCCCTTCGGCTTCTGCATCTCCCGCTGGAGCTGGCTTCATGTGTTTGAGTGCTGCGAAGTGCTAGCCACTTTATATGACATTTTGACCTAACTTCTCATTTGCTACGAGATATGTATTTTAGAGGAGTTTTGATTGAATTTATATGAAAGTATTTATAAATACTTATGAATCGCAAATCCAAATAAGCCATTTTGAGCGCCGTGAATCTGAATCACTTGCTGGTTGTGACTCTATTCTGTGATGATTAGGAGTTTGTAATTCACTCAGGTGGTACATGAATTCATTTTATCCAATCTATTTTTTTTTAATATTTTAATAAGTACAGGGTGTTTTTCTGTTCAAAACATCTTATTGAAGCATTATATGACACTAATGAGGTGTTTGGATGGAAACCAAACCATGATTTTAGAATGATTTTACGGTCTACGAGGTAAATAGGTGGATGGAGTTTATCTCGATTCCGGAAAAGTGCTTCTGAGATGCTCTTTTTCAGGATATAAATATTTCTCTGAGAAAATTTCAATCTATGTTCCATTGTATCTGCTGCTTCATTTTTTTTCCCACTAAAGCATAAGTATCCTCCTATCTGAGGTACTGTCAGGTACTAAATATAAGTACCTCTCTCAACAGGGATTCAAATCTTGATTTGTTATGTTGTGAGAGACTAACTTCTTATGTTAGACCCAACTCCTGTTGGTTTATTTGCTGCTTCATTAATACTTGTATTATCTCTCCCTCTTTTTTTCCTTTCGGCCCAGAAAGTTTTTCTCAGAAAATCTTGGAACATGTTGGGTTTTTTTACAATCCATGTACCGAGGGCATCAATTTTCAGGCCCATAGATACACAGAATTAGAATCTTGCATCTGCGTTTGGTTGAGCCTAAAGCCCACAAGTAGCTTGGTTCAATATTAAACCCAACTTGTTTCGTGAGGCCCACTATACTCAACCGTGATTCCCATTCCACATACTCTTACCCACACCATTTTTATTCTCATCATTCGTCCCTGTACGTCTTTTTGGTATTTTCTTATCTTCGGTGAAAAAAATAAATCACACTATTTCTATTTTTCATTCGGTATTTAGACATATGTGTGTTATATCAACCATAATAAGTGAAATTTAATTTTCCATCCATAAAGAACATACGGACAATATAATTGTGCTAATTTCTTTTTCAACATTTCCTTTTGTTTTTCTTTGCCAACTAACAACATTTTCCCCAAATATAATTCTTTCCCTTTCCTCACGAACCTGCCTAACCGTTTTTTTTTTATTTTGCCCTTTTCGCATTAGAAAAAAGCAAGTTAATTGAGTCATCCAGGAATTGTTTCTTCCGCAAATATTTATACTACTTCATATTCTTAATATAAGAGTTCGTTAACTAATTTGAGTATATTAAGAAAATTAGTTAAGTTATTTATTTATAATAAATAAATGTTGCTTTCTCTAAAATACCCTTACTAATCAAGTATTTGAGCTATAACTATTATTTAATGAAATCTTTAACATGTATAATTACTACAGGGGTTACCTTAGAAAAAAAAAGACAAATATGAAAGACAAAATAGATTGAGACTTATATTTAAGACCAAATTAAATATTAAATTAGCTCTTATATTAAGGATCGGAGGTAATATTATCTTTATTTTTATTTTTATTCTGGTCTTGTTACGACTTAAAGAGATGACCTGTAAATCCTTCTGCCTTTTATCAGGAGTCAAAATTTTTTTAAAGTTCCGTAAAGATAACAGAGCTCATTTGTGTAATCAATAATGGACTCACTCTTTTATATAATTGTAAATAAATATAAAAGTTAGTTAGTAGCCGTTAGGACGTGTTTAGCAACCAGTCATTACGCAAGGCCTATAAATAGGCATCCTAATGCATTTGTAAAGCAAACTGATTGATTGCAATACAGAGTATTATTCAGTTGATCTTCTCGTCTCTCTCTCTCTAATCTTCCCCTTTTCTCCTCCTAACATGTTTCCTCTTATCTCACTATTCTTTTGTCTTTATTCATTTTTATCTAACCCTGCTTTGATACTACATTGAAAAGATTGGTTCTGTTGCTTAGAGCTACCTCCATAATCCAGAATACACCCAACTTTCCATGTTTCTACGCTGAAACCATGTCTAGATCCTAGTGTCAAGCAACAGCATCCCCCTATTGATTATCCGGAAATCCTACAACTTTATATCCAGAGAAAATTGTCAATAAGAGGGTTGGAGGGAAGAAAAGACGAATTACAACAGAAGTTTTTGTCCAATGGAGAGGCCTACAGAATGAAGAAGCTACATGGGTTTCTCTTTTCAACTTACAAAAGCAATTTCCAGGTTTTGAAGTTGCAGGCCCTTGAGGACAATGGTGTTTTTAGGGGGTATTGTTATATAATTGTAAATAAATATAAAAGTTAGTTTGTAACCATTAGGATATGTGTTAAGCAAGGCTTATACATAGGCATCCCAATTCATCTGTAAAGTAAATTGATTGATTGTAATGCAGAGTACTATTCAGTCGATCTCTTTCTCTCTAATCTTGCCCTTTTCTCCTCCTAACCTGTTTCCTCTTAGCTCACTGTTCTTCTCTCTTCCCTCTGTTCTTTCTTATCTTTCCTGCTCTAATAGGAAAAGATTTTTATAATGTCATGCGTGAGTGCGGCTTAACTTGGTGTAAAAATTCCAGTTCAAAAAAAAAAAAAAGATTTAACAAATACCAATTGGTGTGATGCCAAAACAAAAGTGCCACAATTAAAAAGGAAGTATTATAAACCTCAAGAACGAGCATAACACTAATTAATGCTCTTTCTTTTCACTCCCTCTTTTGCCAATTTATTTCTATCTTATTTTAATTTTTTTAAAGTTATAATAATTTCAGAAGATCCAAGTTATTCGACAAAAGTGAGTGGACATGTTTCAAGGCACACTCAAGAAATACTACCTCCAGTCCTAATTATAAGAGTTAGCTGACTAATTTGAGGAGATTAAGGAAAGAAGTTAAGTTAGTTATTTGTAATAAATATATGTTGTCTTTCCTAAAATATCTTTGCCAATTAAGTATATTGGCTATAACTACTATTGTTAGGAAGACTATTTTAAAAAAAATACATAAATATGAGAGATAAAATAGATTGAGATCTTATGTTTAGGATCAAAATAAAAGTCAAACAAGGTTTTATATCAAGGACCAGACCATGTTATCTCTTGCTCTTAAGTCTGCATCCAATATTCATGGAGCTACAAGCCACCATAACTAATTCAGATCAAAGTTCTGACCGTTGGTTAGATATTCCAAATTTGAAGCTTCTGCAGTTAAAGCTATTTGGATCGAGGTTATATGTATGGGATAATTGGAAGACTATAATTAACTAGATACGAGAAATCTAAACGGTGAAGTAATGAATGATGTATACCTGGTTAGATGAGGTGCCAGTGGAAGATAATTTATAGTTGACTCTGCAGTTTCGTAAATCCTTTTAATTTCATGAAGCTGCTGCACTGTAAAGTGCAGAGCAGACTTATTCATCGTCCGTTTTTATAGTTTCCCTTTAACCGCTTACTGTCAAATCTAGAAAGTTCTGGATCCTGCCCAATGCGCTTCCTTCCATATATAATTTTCTTTCTTTTTCACAGAGCCTTGTATATATAAAACAGTAAACAAAAGCCCACCAGACAACCTCAAAGGTTACTCGATCACTTTAGTTCTTGTTTTACGCCATTCCGGTGAATGTGAATTTAATCCCAGTTAATTATGATAGATCAGAACATGGATAGATGTAACAGGTAAGGGACCACTTCTCTGTGCAATAAAGTAATTAGCAGCTTATCTTCTTATCTCATCTTCTCCTTCCTTATCTATACTCCATTCTCAGTTTTCCCTCTGTCTCTCTCTCCCTCCTCCCTTCCGAACTTTTTCAAAACAAACCATTTTGTTTGCCTACCCTTTCCCCTATATGGGTCCCTGCAACAGAGAAGCTTAGATATATCATTAGTGATTTCAAGGAAACGTAAAGGGAATTATTTTATATATGCAATTCTAATTGTTCATAATGGTCGGAAGCATGTATGGATCAAACATATATCGTGTAAAGAAAATGAAGGGAATTCAATTGAAGTGAGCATGCGCACGCACATACATATTTTAGGTACAGAACGGATTGATGAAGAAGAAGTAGAGATATGGACGGTGCGTACAGATCGTATAGTGCGTGTTGATATTGACTTTATATATAAAAGTCATAATCACAGCATTAACTAACTTGCACCTATGTATGAATACTGAAAAGCAACTAAGTAACATAAAGCCTAGTACCATTACGAAGCAAATAGAACAAAAGAATGGTTGATTGGCAGTAAAAGATGAAGACTGCCATGCACGCAGCAGTAATAAGTTCAGTAGGAGGGTCCCCAGTAAATTAATGAATTCTCCACCGCAAGTTCCCAATCCTCCTGGAACAGCGTGCCCACTGAGATGTGATTCGTTAGGATCTAACCCAACTTGAATTCTTTTGCAATTCCTTCCGATTTATTACCCTTTTCTGCATTAATTTCAACCTCAATTTTCCTCACCCCTTTTTTTCCTTTTATGTATAAGAGCTCAGGTGAAATGAATATTTGTGAAGTTCATCAGAATCAGAATAGATATCATGGCTTAAAAGAGCTTATACATAGTATTTAACTCACTAAAAATCTTCTCATATATGGTAATCAATTTCAAATTTTCCAATCTAGCTAATTCTTCATCCTGCACCTGGGTCCACTTCATTCTTTGTCTATCTCATCCTCACGCCACCTTTTGCCGGTGACGGAGCTCATCATATCCTAATGGAACATTATAGCCAGGGTTGTGTTTTTTTTTTTAAAATCTTGTTGGGTTCTGACAAATGTCATGTGATTGTGGGGCTCTATCTTGAAAAGTAAAATTTTGAAGGCAAAGCAAACTACTTTCAGTCAAAAGGGTCGCATATATACTTTGAAGCAATCTGGTTCATGCACCAGCATCGATCCTCATTCATTCAATATCCATCTACCCCACCACCTCTACTGCTCTGTGGTCCCTCCTTCCTCCATCTCAACCGTCCATCACCTTTGACCTCTGCCAAATCTACATCATCAATGGTCCCAATTCACCCTTCTCTCATTTAGAGCTAACCCCACACGTGATGGGCTTTCTCTATCCGCAATATATAATTACTGCAGATTTAACTTGATAATCATTAATAAGCTTCTCGGAGATTATATATATTTGTTTATATGCATATAATATTGCCTCATCAAGTTGCTATAAAAAGCCCAACTCCACTTACAGTGTTGGTCGGTTCCAGTGACAGTCATCTATCCTCTCTGCTATATTTATATTCCTTGTCTCTGTGTGTCTCTCTCTATCTCCTTATCTCTGTGCCTTCTTTCTGATAGAAACCCTACCTATCTTTACCCGATTTCTCAGCCCTCCCATACTCTTTGTTCTCAAATCGCTTCTTCTTCTGCTGATCTGTTACTCCTCTCTTTTCCTTCCATTCCTTCCTGTCTCTGAAAATCTTCATGGACGTGGATGACAGAAGCATGGACATGATGGCAATGATGATGCAGATGGAAAAGTTTCCTGAGTTCTCTGAACCTTTTTACCCAGAACCTCCATTCTCCACCACCACCGCCGCCGCCAACACCAGTATGCCCATACTCTCCAATAACATGATCAATCCTCCTCTACCTAGTAATCCCTTTGTGGGCAACACTATTAATCCAAGCCCACACCTGATTCCACCCAATAAAGACGTTGAGTTCAGGAATATTACTGACAGTCCCAATGCTTCTTCTTCATCTTCTGAGAAGAAGAATTCCATGGCGGCGATGAGAGAAATGATATTTCGTATAGCAGTGATGCAGCCCATTTACATAGACCCGGAATCCATTAAGCCTCCGAAGAGAAGGAACGTGAAGATATCGAAGGATCCGCAAAGCGTGGCGGCGAGGCACAGGAGGGAGAGAATAAGCGAAAGGATTAGGATTCTGCAGAGATTAGTTCCTGGAGGGACCAAAATGGACACGGCCTCAATGTTGGACGAAGCTATACATTACGTTAAGTTCTTGAAGAAGCAAGTTCAGACGCTGGAACAGGCAGGAGCGAGTAGAGCTGTGGGTTTTGGGGTACCTACCTTCAATATGAATAATTATTCTACTTTCATGAAGGATTACCACCAACCTTCTCAGATGGTGGTGGGTAGTTCTATGCAAATGCTAAGCTGAAAGGTTTTTTTAAAAGAAAAAAATCTATGGTGTTGTGGTCCTTGATGTTGATGATATTGGTCGTGTTGGAAAGGGAAGTGTTTCTGAATGTTATTGTCCTTGTCTTGTAGGGTTATGTTTTTCTTTTTCAGTCGAAAAGGACCAAAAAGAATTTGGAAACGAGTTCGGATTTTTCTCAGAAGCATTCCTTGGAGATAAAGAAGAACATCTAAAAATAATTTGTATTGCGTATGTCCAACCTAAGTTTGTAGTATAATCTCAAGAGATAATATAAACAGAGAAACATGGCAAAACAACTTTTTGGTTTCTGGGTTTTGTTCGGTCGTGCATTCTAGAATAAATGGTACAATAACTTATTGCATTAATTATAGTTAATTCAGCAAGAATTCGACGTAAACTATGTTATGTTGACATCTAATTCTAATTGGAAAGTGGTCTTCTTTTCATTTCCTGGATTAAAGATTACATGTCAGATCATGCATGCGTATTGCAAAATGAGGAAATTAACTAATTAAGGCAAATTTCCTTTCCTTCCATCCCTCCTTTTCTTTTCTTTTTTTAATAAAAAATAAGTTACCCTAGGTTACATTTTTACTCTAATCTCCCTCTGCCTCACACACAAACACACGCAATATCTCGATGAAATACTGTCAAATTACTTCGATAACTTTCTGTGCAACATATGTTTCGTTTGAAAAAAATAAAATAGTATTATTTTAGCTACATGTAATATTATATTATAAGAAGAAATTAATGCATCTAAATATCTTTTAAAGCACTTAATTAGTTATACAATTGTTATATGAATTTTAAAGCGTGTGAGGAGTAAAAGTAAAAGTGTGTGTAAGCACATTTTCCCCTTTACACCCCTCTCGGGGTTCTCTTAAAAAAAATTGTAGAAGTCTTATTATAACAAACAAATTTTAAAAAGTCTTTCTAAGCTTAACATTAATGATTACACATATTAAAGTATATTTATCAAGGGTAATTGAATTTCAATATACAAAATTAACAAGGATATCTTAAATAAAACAATATCCATTTATGATAAATAACCAACTTCCTCAATATCCGTAAATTAATTATCTAGATTTTATATTAAGGTATAAAGGTAGTAATTTTCACAACGGGAGAGTAATTAAGTCAGCATAATTTGTTTCTCCCAGTCCCTTCGGGTTACACATCCTGCTTGTTGTTATTTTCGTACTGCCAAACCTGTTTAAAAAGACTGTAACGGAGTTCTTATATAGGTCAATAATAAAAATAATTGGCCGGAAAAGAATTAAGATTCATTGGCTCCTCAACTTAGCGCTGGGTTACGTCACAAAAGATGTAAATAAATAAATACGTAAACTCATACACTATATATAAAACTAAATTAAAATAGAGCAGATAGAAATAGCAATAGTGATTGGTCGGAAAATAAGAAAGAATGTATCCCCTAGTGGTAGATAGATCAGACCCCACGATCGACAAGCCGAGCGTGAGACGTCTTTAACTACATTAGTTTCAACTAACCATCACATACAAGAATGGTTTTCCTCGACCTATGTTGCACTGTCTCATTTCTTCTGAGCACCACAAGAACATATATGACATACAAATATCATTTATCCATTTGTTTAATTCCACATGTGTTTACCTGTAATAATAATAGCTAGCAAGTCAAATAGATATTTGACATTATTTGGGCATGGGCATGGGATAATGATCTCGACAAACTAAAAGGAAGCATGGATCATCATCAATTGCTTTTAATTATTATTAACTACATACTAACTATACATAAATCCATTAGTTATTGGACAAATTAAAGCAAGTAAGGAGAGAGAATATATTGTATCTACTCTCTTGTCTGTTTTGAACCCAGCCAATGATGGATCATGCTCTAATAGTCTTTCACAAGAGAAGAGAAGGGGTTGCCTCCTAGAGCAGGGTCGAATTATTTGAGTGTTCATGTTTGGTGGATCATGCCCGGCAAATACACTATATACGTATTCCAGTATTATTTTATCATATCTTTATAAATGACAGTAATAAAATAAGGTGAGAGAGAAGTATAGCTAGATATGGACAAGCCAAATCTAGCAGGTTCGGAGCATGTGAGATATTCCAAAATAGGGTCCCAACAAGGGGCAGGAAGATGAGACTTTTAATTAATAATAATGCATGATAGAAAGAATAAAGACTAAAGAACAGAGAGAGAGGGAGCGTTTGGATTATACGTATATGCCTACCCTTTTTATTCAGTGCATTGTATTTGCATTTCTCTCTCTGACACATTCCTCCTTTTTTCCTATCCCTCCGTTTCATTTAGTCATTTTCTTGGCCTAAATTATCAACCCACCCAATACCCTCTTATTATTATATATTACTACCTCTGGTCTAAATATAAAAATATAAAAATTAGTTGACTAATTTGAGTAAATTAAGAAAATAAGTTAAGTTAGTTATTTGTAATAAATATATATTGTCTTTCCTAAAATATCCTTACCAATCAAGTTTATTAACTAGAACTACTATTATTAGAAAGATATCTTTAAAAAAAAGATAAATATAAAAGATAAAATAGATTGCAGTATTATATTTAGGATTAAAATAAAAATCAAATAAGATCATATATTAAAAACCGAAGATAGTAGCATGTCAAGCTATGGGGATAAGCCTCCATGCATGTTTCTTTGAATTGGAACGTACACCGACACTACTCTCATCCCTTGCGGCGCACCCAATAATCTCATCCTGCAAGCTAAGGTGCATTCACCTTACACTGATTGATCCCACCTAAAATGAAGAAGGAAAAAAAAGAAACGAAGATAGAAACAACATGCATGATCATTCCTAATTTGACCGACCTTTCTTTCGCCAACACAGACCTTGCACGTGTTGTTGCCATGCGTACTAATATTTGATTCAGTTTGGATGCTCATCACCCAAATGATAAGCACCAAATTCGAACTTTCCAAATCAAAATTCGACGGTTTGGATTTAATCTAATTTTGTTTTTTTTTTAATGGCATTAGGAATCATTTGTGTATTGACATGAAACGTTGATTGATCACGAAGTCATACATCCATATATATATATATATATATATATATATATATATATGGTGTCCACTATAATACAATGGTCGCAATATTGCCCACCAAACTAGAGCAATAACGATAAAACAAGTAATAACTCAGACATGTTATTATTTTTATTATTATTTGCATTTGAATATGTAAGGTTGAGTTTATTTATTTATTATTCAATTCAAATAATTAACTGATACTGTATTGAACAAGGCCAACAACTCATCACGTTGAATGTTGCACAGCCGGCCAACCGTCCAAACTAGCCAAATAAGAGCAAAAATTCAGCGAATTTAATTTTTTCCCATGTAAGTATTTGGCCAAGTCCGTCCTAGCTATACCGTGTTGCCAGCCTATCTCTTCGCCTGCTACATTTAAGACCACTTTTCTTTACTCGTATTCTCAATATAATACTTCTCCAGTTTTAAATATGAGTCTTGCACTACAAAATATGTTTTATATTTAATATCAAAAGAGTAACATAATATTTATAGAATTAGTTTTGCTGTCAAAAAAAATCATGACCACGTCTTATTTCTAAAAAAAATCATGGCTTAAGGCATTTTCTCTACCCCTTCTTACCCTGAAAAAGCAGGAGCACCTTGCGTCCTTGAACCGATATGAAATGCATTTTCAATTGATTTTTATATCACATTGAATGGCAAAAATAATTGGCTATATTGCAGCTGTTTGGATTGCCGTTGGAGGGAGAAAGCTTGTATTGGAATTTATTAAAAGGAGATTTGTGGGTGAGTTGAAGTTTTTGCAATGTTTAGGTGCACTACCAACTTTTGTTTTAAAAATTAAAAATTGGTCGCGGCTGCAGAACGCCAAATTTTGAGCTTTTGGAGTTGCCAATGTCAAGCGATAAAGTATTTAAGTGAGTCCTATATTGATCCAATAATTTATTTTTATCAATAATAATTTAATTATTTTGTATTTATTATTATTTTTAGATTTATCAAAATATATACATATGATATACTATCTCAAACCCTTAATATGAGACCCAATGAACTAATTTGAAGAGATTACAAAAGCTAAATAAATAAATTAATTATATTTTATATTACATGATCTTTCTAAAATATTTATATATATCACTAGATTAAAAATTAATTTATAAGTCAGACAAATTAGTTTGGAACAATAATACTCTTTTAATTATTTTACATTTAAACTTACTTTTTCATTACTTATCTAAATAAATTTTAATTTATCAAATTAATTTTTATAAAAATCAATCCAAATAAAAATCATATTATACTACTGACACATTTGCAAAAGTCACATGAAATAAAAAATAGTTTTACCGCCACTCCAAATTCTTCCTCTCACGGCGTCGTCAGAATTTGAGAAATGAGTGGGCTTGAGCTTCATCCTCAGTTTTCATCCCAAAAAAAAAAACCTCAACAAAGAAGGCTCAAACCTTTCACTTGCATATATTGTGGCCCAACAACACGGAGACATTTTCGACCTTTTAATTTTCCTTTTCAAATGACATGACTTTCTTATGGGCCGAGCCCGCTCCCACGTATACCCGAAAAAGTTAAAAAACAAAAAGGGGCATTTTCCTCACTTTCAAGAAAAACATAACCTAACCAAAGGGTTATAGGTTTAGTAGGAAAGATCAGTCTCTCATAACACAACCTAACCTTAGTTTATTATGGCCAGAGGAGGGGGGGGGGAAGAAGCAAACAGAATATATGTGCTATGGTTCATTTATTTTGGCAGTGATTTTCTTTATTCTTTTTTTCTCCCAGAATCTTGTCAAAATCCTTTACCTCGTCGGGTGTGACAAGAAATTTATAAAATTCGTAAACATAAATTAAGCACATACTTGCATGGAACATCACAAGGCACAAAAAGTACACACACTCTTTGTATCCCTATTGTGTAATTTGAGACTACTGGCCAACGGT